TTATGTTTCGAGTCGGATTGCGATTTGGTTTTGTTTTGGTTTGTTTCATTTGTTCTGGATGATGTCTTATTGGGCTGACATCGGACCTAACATATTCTGGTTGAGCTCTTCTGTTCTCCTTGAGCTGTGCTGTGTTCCCGACTGGTCCATTTCCAGTCCTCTGCAGTCCGTGCTTCCGGTAACTTCGTTCCCCTTTCCTTCCCTCGTCTCCATTGAGGGCAATGTCGATCTTAAGTGTGGGGGGATGTTTACCTTTTGACTGCATGAGCTCTGTTTGTGTGCTTGGAGCCTAGTCCACTGTCCAAATCTTACGATTTGAGGGCTCCAAGTACTGCTGTTTGATCATATTGGCACTGTGCTTTGATGGATGAATTGATTGGTTTTCGGATTAATGCATGACAACTTGTTTGCGACTAGGACAACCTATGATGAGGACTGAGATGTGCAGTAGAACGATGTAGGGGTTCAGTTTTTCAACTGTTTGCTTGCCAACTGTGACTTGATCTGACTTGATATGATTACTTATCCTTGACAGTCGTTTATGCATCTAGTTCAGGGTATCAGAATGTGAGATAGAGCATATAGGTAGCCATGTGAGATTTGAGCCTGCTCGTTTCTTTCTTGTGCGATAGATCCCTCTTCCATGATGTGTAGCATTCACGTTGTCACTAGCTAAGATGATGGGGGCATAGGATTAGCCCACGCCCAGTACTGACTGTCCTGATGTGTCATATCCCCTAGTCAGCCCTTTGAGCCGTGTGTTATCCTTTCTTTTGGTCTATAATGAAAAAAATCACCCTTGTTGCATCTTTTAGAAGGTTCCACAGAGTGGTTTTATATATTCTCTGCTGTTTCTGCTAAAGTCTATGTGAGTGTCGGAGGTAGTGCTTAAAAATTGGGCAGGTGTTTGAAATTTATGCAGAAGTGGTGGTTCTCTTAAGAAATGAAAAGAAAAATGAAAGAAAAACAAAGAAAAAAATGAAAGTAAAAGAGAGCCACTACCAAAAATCTGAATAATGCCCAGTAAGCAGTGTCTCTTAGCAGTCTAGCTTGGAAATGCTGATGATTATGCCTCCTTCACTCTTGTGCTCTTAAGATATTGAGTAATGCAGAATAGCAGAAAGAAAATACCGGGTTGTTTGACTGTGATGGTGTGTTTGGAAAATGTGGAACCTTTTTGCTATGAATACTTCCACCACCTAAAGGCCTTTTCCCCATGTCCAAGACCCTAGCCAGTCATTTGAACCTGTGTCTAAGACCTCCTGATTAGTTAGTGGTGACACCCCATATGTGAACTCTAGCATTTAGAGGCTGCCATCATGGTGAAGAGATGATAGGGATTGAGAGAAATAGCATGCGCGTCTTTCGCATCAAAAAATGTCCTGACCCCACTGGTCGAGAGTGAGCGATTCATTTCCATTTTCTATATGCTCTTGTACCCCGGTGAGGACCTAGATTGCTCGGTCTCTATTCTGATGTTTTGAGTTGGATGCATGAGTCGACTGTTTTGAGTAAGTGGTTGAATCAAGTCTAGGTTGGCTAGTGAACAGACGGGAGACTCTTCCTTTACTCGATTTGCTGCACTCGAATGTCCTTTGTGGTGGTTGTCCAGGTTGTCATTGAGGTTGTGCATGTATTGATGTTTGAAAACCAGTGCGATTCACGTGTTTTGTGCCTTTATGACTTGTCCCCAGTGTTGGTTGATTGAAATATGTGAGCTTACCTAGTGTCTGACTTGGTTTGCTTGGGGACAAGCAAACGGTTAAGTGTGGGGGAGTTTGATAGACCGATAATCATACATGTTTTCACCCCTATTCTGAAGTCGTTTGTGATGAGGAATCTCGTATTTTAAGCCGATTTTACGCTAGGTTGTGTGTTTATGTCATATTTCAGGTCCTGGCGTTGGAATCGAGGCGAAGGAACGAGTTCTGGATCGAAAGGAGCGAAGATTGGACAAAGGATGCTGCTGGACCAAAATACCCGGTCAAAGGAAGAAATACCCGACCGGGTATATTCTGACCTCGACCGGGTATTTCCTCCTTCGGGCACCCGTGAGAAGCAGAAGGGGGCCCGGGCGATGGCGATAAATCCCCGGTCGGGGATTTTGGTGGTAGACCGGGGATTTTTCCCTTAGTCAGACGGTGCGTTTCATAAAATACCCGGTCGAACCATAAAATACCCGACCGGGTATTTTGACCGGGTATCGCGACAGGCAGCTGATAAAACAGGAAGAAGGCCAATTTTCAGGGGGTTCGGAGTTTTTGAGAGAGAAACCGATACCTAGAGAGAGAAAGCGTCGAACCAGAGTTCTCAAGCGCTATAGATCGATCTTCAACACCATTGGAGCCCGTCTTGAGCTTGGAGAAGTGCGATTAAACGTCCAGAAGCAGGAATCCAACTTCACAGTATGATTTCCGTGTCTGAATCTGCTTTTGCTTCTTTCTCTATGGAGTAGTTTCCCCATTCATCTGGGTATGGAGAACCCTAGATTTGTATGCTAGGTCTGATTGTATGAACCCAAGTACAGTGTTTGTGAATTGATTATATTCGATTGAGGTTTGATTGATTGAATGACTTGAATCCTGATCAAATTCCTGTTGTTTCTGCTTTAACCTGGAATGAGAATATCTGCCTAGGTTGATAGAGTACCCTTAATCGAAGGTGGCGAATTGGTGACTTTAGTCGAGGAGCCAATTCGCTATTCTGTACCGAAGTCGATTCGGTAGTGGAGGTTTGGTTCATTAGGGCCTCAATCTGTTTACTCCGGTGGAGGTTAGTCGCCCGCTAGAGACTCAGATTGAGAGGGTCTGGAGACCTTTAGTCGAGACTTCAGGCTAATTGAGAACCTTCCGCAGTATAACTTTCATGAAAACTGAACTTGGTAAAATGCAATCCGACTTAACTGCAGTCTAGGGGGAAACCATATCCGGGTGACCTCTCTTGACTTGACAACAAACCGTTTACTTGCTTTGTGTTTTGTTTGCTTGAGTTTCACTAAAAGTTCACCGCTAAATAACAAGAATTCACCGAGTAGTCATCACATCTAGGACCCGGGTTGACATTAAAACCCGACCCGCTATACTACGCTTTAGGAATTGGTTATACTTGGCCATTTTCTAGGGTGACAGTAGGAGTGAGTCAAGCTGCTATCGAGCTGGTTCTCGCTCATTTCTTTACTAAGGCCTGGTGAGTGAGATGAGGTCAGTCTACGCCCTTACGTTTAAAATCTCTAATACTTGAATACTTTACTTAAGACACTTAACTTGAACTAGTGGAAGTTGTTTGTACTTTTACTCTTAAAAAACTTAACACTTAAAGTTGTATGGGAACTACTGTTACCCTCCATTCTTAAAGCTCAAAATTCAAATTAAATTCTTGACTGACACGGGGATCCCTCACTAACTAGTCCGGTTGCCCAAATCATACGTATGAGAAGCCGTCAATGCTTTCCATAAACTTAAACTTAATTAGGGGAGTCGTAACTATTCATCCCCCTAACATCTGAAACTTATGGTGGTGGCTCTTCACCACGAGTCTCAGATTCATAACTGCTGCTCATCTTAAAAGTTTCAAGAGCATAAATGCTGCTCTATATCAAAATCTCAAATGGCAATGGACTGACGCTAGTGACTAAAAACTCTTAAAATGATTTAACCTTCTTGAAGGTGAAATACTTCTTAAAAAGAACTTGTTTCTTAAACTTTAACAATCACTCATAACGTTAAACTTTATGGTAATTAAATAACACATTCACTTCAAATCATAGCTCAAACAAAGCACGTATAATCAACCATAAACATAATCAAGCAACGGTAACCACTTCGCTAAAATACTTAAAACCGTAATACTTAAGATAATATGTAAGACATAGAATTTACCCCTTTACACTCAACTCTTTCCTCGAATCAACGAACTAGATTTAATCTTCAGTGGTAATTGGCATTGCTCCGAGATGTGCGACTCGCCCTATGAACCCAAAATCCAAGGCGTAGTGCAACATCCTTCAAAAACCTGCTGTGCTCGTTCGCCATGCACTATACCTATACCAAGTCCATCTTCTCATCAATTCTCTAGCATCATCAATGTTCCAGAATCAAGAGTGAGGGGTGGGGGGGGGGGGGACATGTAGTTCATTTGACATTGCATTTCACCCTAGTCATTAAGGCAATTATGCAAATGATTTCCTGATCTCGTTCTTACACTACTAAAAAGACAGTCATTATCGACGACAGAATTTTCATCATAATTAATAAAATTTCGTCGGAAAGCGCCTTTTTCGAAGACATATGGTCGTCAAAAATTGTCCCGTCGCTAATAAAACATTACTGACAAGTCGTCAAAATTTCGATATTATTGACGACAGAAATTTGTTAGTAATAAAATAAATGACGTCACAAAAGAAATCACTCATGACCGATGAATTTGACGAATTTGTTTTTCGACAACAAATTCATTTATTTTTTACGCTTTATGTTTGTAGGTAGACTAGAATTTCTGACTAGTCGTCATAAATACTAGTTATACTAACGTCCATAATTCGTCAAAAATAAATATTTTACGGATGTGTATGCGTCAAAAATATAAAGTTTACTGATGCCGACAAATTTTCATTAAAACTATGTTTTTCCCAACGTGTCGTTGGAGAAATTATTATTTCCGAGGACAACTATTCATCGTAAAAAAATCTTTTTCAAGTATCGTTGGATAAATTTTATTTCCGAGGACAACTATTCATCGTAAAAAAAAACTTTTCCAACGCGTCGTTGGATAAATTTTTATTACTGAGGCCATATGTTTATCGTAAAAAAAAAACTTTTCCAACGTGTCGTTGGAAAAATTATATTTACTGAGGATAGTTATTTATCGCCAAAAATAAACTTTTCCAACATGTCATCGAAGAAACTACATTTTCTAATGACGCTTAATTATTTTCAATAGTGCGATTACATCTACTAACGACGATACATTGTAGCTAATTGCTTGACCAAATTTCATTTGTGACGCCATTACACTTCTAGTTATGACCACACAAAAAAATCATCCAAACGAAGTTAAGCATATATGATAATATTCCGAAATTGATTTAAAACTGTCTTACAAGTAGCCATCAGCTACGACCAAACATCCAAAAATCAAAAGGCAAACTATCCTCCGAAAATCACACAAAATATCTCAAATTCAAGCGATACTTAGAGTCCTACGATAGCATTAAAAAGAAGTTCATGCAGCAGCAGCAGTCTCGTCGGCAGTCTCCTCATCGGACTCGTCATCGGACGCATCATTACCCTGAGTTTCGCCAACTCGACCATGTTCCCCATTTGCTTCACTATAGAGATCCTACAGAGAATGTAACATATAAATTAGGCTAAATGCCCATATAACATAGCTTCGAAAATTATGTAATGAGTAAAAAATAAAACATGGCAGCAAAGTACTTACCATGTCGAATGACTCGCGCTGCCGCACTCCAAGCCTCTGCAACATATATTCAACGATGTGAGGGGCTGCATTCCTCACATCTACGATGTCATCCTCCAACTTCTTCATTTTCTCATCATTTTTCCCTTTCTTTGGTTCGATCCTCCTAACAACGCTTGCTGCAACCCTGACTCCCTTGACTCGATGGGGGACCGAAGACATCAACCGTGCTCACCCCATGACCCATCCCTAGAACACGCTTGGGGTGTTGTGGTCCTATCACTTCTTGATAGATGGCAAATATGTTTGGTTCTTTTCCTTGGGATACCTTTTCAGCCTCATCTTCTATCATTCCATCCTAATCATGGAGTACACAACATTAATATCGATAAAAAAGACAAAAAAAAACCCTAGTACAAACAGCAGCCTAATACTCTGTAAACATTATTGAACTTACATGCAGGTTTTTTTTATTTTGAGTTAACCCAGTTCTTTTCCTTCTTCACATGGAAACATCTGAACATTTCGATCGGATCAGGTTCTTTTTCCAGCATGTTTTATTTACCAATCAATTAAAAACAAAACATTGCATTAACACATGTAAACAGATTACAATTGAAGCCTAACATAAACATTAAAAAGCGCAGCAACTTACCTCTTCATCTCTGTACTTGGCCAAAGGTGCTGAAGCGCCAGTGGCTGCAAGCTCACTCTTCTCCCGATTCTCTTATTCTTATCACTTATTTCCTTCAATTTGAAACAAACCAACAATCAGCTCACCATTCAAAACAGATTTGGATGAAAGAGCAGACACCAAAGCATACAAATTACCACCCAATTAGGGTCAGTCCATTTCCTAACCATTTCCCTCCAAATTGATGGACCTATCTGCAATGGTGGATGGTTCATTCTCTCATTCAGATCCTTATATTTTGTGAAAATCGGGTCTCAGAGACCATACATCCACTAGGGATAGTTTCTCTTCACGTGTTGTCGTACCATTTTGTTGAAAGTCTCTTCTGAACCAGTGTAAGTGAATCTTGAGTCCTTGAAACGAGCTATCACAGTCTGCAACTCTGATGCAGGATACTCTAAGAACGTAATCCAAGGCCAATTGATGCTCCTTTTGAATTTAGCTGAAATTTCACGGGCTGCCTGAGTGGTAATTATCCTGCACCGTTTATAAAGAAGCATTAAACTAACAAAAGTCAGCTAATGAAAAGAACTTTGCAAATCCAAGGCCCATTATTACTGACATGTTGTTGTGAAATTCCAGGGAGAGGTTGTGCCCAGGTTTGACACCCTTTATTGTACCTCTTCCTATTCTTTTTTTGATCATCCCTATCACAAGTTAACAACTTATAGTAAGCTAATGCAAAGACATTTGCAAATCAAACTAAGAAAAAAACCCACAGATGGATGCTCACCATTCGAACTTCCACCCTCCGAATACAGATCCGCAGCTGATTGTTGAGCAAACGAATCAACCTGCTCTGTTTCTCCTTCCAATCCAGTAGCAAGGGTTCTTTGGTCCGTTCTCTGAGTTTCAGTAAGAGGAACATGCGGATTGGTGTTCCTGCCATCTTGTCCTTCTTCCTGAATCTCTGAAACAAGAGGCAGAGAGTTGCTCTGCACAGGGTCACGAGGTGTAGATTCTTCCCTCTGGTTCTGAGAACGGAGGCATTTCTTTTGCTTTCCCATATAGTGAGAAGCATATTTCGTTAGTGGGAGGAGAAGAATGGCAGAGAAGAAACCAAGGCAGAGAACGAAGAAAGGTCTTTTGGGTTCCTTTGCCTTTGCCTCTACTGAAGCGTGTTTATGGATAGTAGAGATTAATAATGAGCCGTGTTGTATGTAGTTATTGTGGTGTGGCAAAAGGGGAAAAAACTCCTGCCTTATTTTTAGGCTAACGAAGAGGCTTCCGGATATATACAAGGAAGGTTTTTGGTTTTTTAACTTTTTTGAGAAAATCTCGTTGCCCTAAAAAAGGCCAAAGATCCCTCTTTTCCGTTTTAATCCTTTAAAGTTAATTAGTTTTTTGCAATTAAGGATGCACCAGGGAGGTCAAAGTTAAAGCTTCGCAACTAAACAAACTATATTAAATTAGAGAGAAGAATTGACAAAGCAGGGGGGAATGAACATAGTGGGTACATGAATGAACCATTCACCAAAACACAAAAAAAAAAAAAAAACCAATGATGCATCTTAGGCTAAAAATTGTCCACAAAAATTGCACCATAACACAACATTCGACATTCAGGCACCAATTCAAAGTAAAAGATATTGAGCTAACCCAGAACAGGCCCAATTTGTGCATGGATGTGCAAAGAACCAGATGATGATTACCTGGAATTCCGATTCAATCCCAATCTCAGAGAGTTCTAAGATGCTTTGTGGGTGCATGCATGTTTGATTTAGACCTGCAATTGAAGAAATCAGACTGCATCATTTAAAGGCTATGCATATAAATTGAAATCCTTCTACACATCCAATCGAAAGAAAAGCAAACGAAACTATATTCCGTCGACTAAGAAAGGCAAAGGAACCCAGATTTCGGCGACTGAAGATCACCTCTCTTCCCTCATTCATCTCTCTCGATATGCAATCCGCTCCGAAACCCGGACCCACCAGAGGATCAGGCTCCTGCCGGATCGCCTCGTCCACGCTGCTCAGAGAATCGCCCGATCGGAGCAATCGAAGGCGGGTGTGACGTCTCCTTCGCGCACCCCAGTTCTCCAACCGCAGCAGCAATTGGAAATACCGTCGTCGTCTCCTCCACGCCTCCCAATCTTCCATCATCGACAGACTTGAAATCGCCTCAATCTTTTGGGTAAGTCATAAGTGAGAAAAAATGAAATCGGGTAGGAAAGGGTTTAAACAAATTGCATGCGAGGAGCCGAGAAGGAAGATGGAGTGTTATGTTCTCCTTTTTGGTGAGAATAAATTAAATCAATTGAAGAGCTGAATTAAAAAATAAATATAAAAAGGGTCTTATTGAGAAGAAGGGCATAAGATGTAGGCTTTTTAATTTAATTGTTTTTTACATAAGCTGTATTTTCAATTTAGTTGTCTAAATAGCAAAACTCAATGGGGCGTACGGTAGGCTAGCGTACGCCCGGACGTACGCTAGCCTATATATAGTAACTACTTCGGTGCACTCACAAAAATGAGTGCGTTTAATGCACCCAACTCAAAAACTAGTCTTAAGGTGTCAGATTTTGAATTTTAATTTGTAGAATTAGTGTAATATGATGATATAACATATGATAACAACTAATTAGCAGATTACCCTAAGCCCTAGACCTCCAATTTTGAGTTCTATCCCTAAACCCCAAATTGTAAACCCTAACCCTAACCCTCTAAACTCTAAATTCTTCAAATTAAAGTAAATCTTCAATGGTTTTTGTGAAAATTCATGTGCGTTATTGTTCATCACATCATAAGTGATGATTAACATCATTTTGACATAAATCGCATATTTAACATGACGGTTATGAAGTGAGTGCATTGAGTGCACCCAAAAAAGTGAGTGCACCGAATACGCCACCATATATATATATATATATATATATATATATATATATATATATATTGTTAATTTTATCTTTTATTTAATTGCAATGCGATAATTGAAAATATATTGTACATTTTTTTGTAGGTTATGGAAGGTGTTGATAAATCATGGATGCAGCTTCGTAATAGATCAACTATGGAGTATATGAATGGCGTTCAAAATTTTATCGCATTCGCATTCAACAATGTTCAAGACGAAGACAACAAAATACAGTGTCCTTGCGTGGATCTGTCGTAATGTTATAAGAAGGGAGAAACAAGAAGTTGAGCTACATCTACTACGACGAGGAATGTCTCTTGATTACACTAAATGGATTTACCATGGTGAGAAAGATGATGATTATTATTCTGAAGAGGAGGATGCAGAGGATGCGGTAGATGATGATAACGAGATGGATGTAGATGACATGCCGGGGTTACTGAATGATTTGAGATCGCATTTGGATCCCGACCCCAAGAATCCTAATGTAGAGGCAGAGAAGTTTTTCAAATTGGTCAAAGAATCTCAGACGCCATTATACGAAGGTTGTGATGAAAAGCTATCCAACATGCAATGCCTGGTGAAGATGATGCATTTGAACTGGTTTAATTCTTGGAGTAATACCTCTTTTACTCAGTTGTTGAAGTTTCTTCGATCTACTTTCCCTATGGCACAGTCTACAATGCTGAAGAATTACTATCAAGCAAAAAAGATGTTGAGTGGCCTTGGGCTCAACTATGAAGACATAGATGCTTGTGAAAATGACTGTGTCATTTACTACGGGGAGCTCAAAGGAGCAACGACATGCCCTTCCTGCCAGAAACCACGGCACAAGAAAATCAGGAAGGATAGTAGGGGAAGAGTGACAAAGGTGCCCTACAAGATACTAAGATATTTTTCCATAAAGCCAAGATTACAACGCTTATTCATGTCGCGAAAGACTGCGGAAGATATGGTGTGGCATGCCGAACAACGTGTCAGAGATGGCAAATTAAGGCATCCTGCTGACAGTGAAGCTTGGAGAGTTTTGGACCAATATGATGCATCTTTTGGTTCTGGCCCTCGCAAAGTCCGATTCGGACTAGCAACGGATGGCTTCAATCCATTTGGCAACATGAATAACAAGCATAGTACATGGCCTGTAATTTTGTTCCCGTATAATCTCCCACCGTGGTTATGCATGAAGAGTCCATATCTCTTATTGACATTACTCATTCCTGGTCCGAAAAGTCCAGGAAGCAATATTGATGTCTATCTGCGACCACTCATTGATGATCCGAAGTCATTGTGGAGTGAAGGAATGATGACTTATGATGCATTCAAGCAAGTGAATTTCAACATGAAAGCTACAGTGTCGTGGACTATCAACGATTTCCCGGCATATGGTCTCCTTTCTGGTTGGAGTACAAAAGACAAATTGGCATGCCCTTCCTGCGCAGGCAATACCTCACATTTGAGGTTGAATAAAGGATGCAAGGAATGTTACATGGATCATCGCCGTTTTTTGCCATCGGATCATAAATGGCACAAGCAAAAGAAGGAATTTAACGTCACTGTAGAAAAAAGACGTGCACCAGAGCGATTATCATCCAAAGAGGTAAAAAATCAACTTCTCTCATTACAAACTATACCTTTCGGCATTAAGGGAAAAGGCAAAAAAATCAAAGGGTTTGGCAAAACTCATAACTGGAAAAAGAAGTCTATTTTCTTTGAATTGCCATATTGGTTATCGCTCTTAGTACGCCACAATTTGGATGTCATGCATATAGATAAAAATGTATGTGATAGTATTCTTGGTACTATTATGAATATTGAGGGCAAAACAAAGGATGGTCTAAGTGCCCGTCGTGATTTGGAGGAGATGGGTATAACGACAGATCTTCATCGTGTTGAGAGGAATGGGAAAACAGAGTTACCTAGAGCTGCATATAGCTTGACGGCGGTAGAGAAGAAATCCTTGTGTCAGTGGCTATCAAAAGTGAAGGTACCAGATGCTTACTTCGCAAGTTTGACAC